TAAAGTCATCCATCCCCATTTAAATATATCCATCCACCTATCCATTTATCTGTCTCTGTCTAAAGATATACATATGCCAACAGTATTTAAATATATTCATCCCTCCATTCATTTAATCCACCCATCTATCCATCCATCCGTCCACCCACCCATCAATCCATCTATCTAATCCACCCATCATTTTTCTAATCCATCCATACATCTAATCCACTTATCATTTTATCCATCCATCCATCCACCTACCCATCCATTCATTCATCTAATCCACCTTTTCATCCATCCATCCATGCATCTAATCCACTTATACTTCTATCCATCCATCCATCCATCCATCCATCCATCCATCCATCCATCCATCCATCCATCCATCTATCTATCTATCTATCTATCTATCTATCTATCTATCTATCTATCTATCTATCTATCTATCACTCTCCATCCATCCATCCATCCATCCATCCATCCATCCATCCATCCATCCATCCATCCATCCATCCATCCATCTATCTATCTATCTATCTATCTATCTATCTATCTATCTATCTATCTATCTATCTATCTATCTATCTATCTATCTATCTAACACTTTCCATCCATCCATCCATCCATCCATCCATCCATCCATCCATCCATCCATCCATCCATCCATCCATCCATCCATCCATCCATCTATCTATCTATCTATCTATCTATCTATCTATCTATCTATCTATCTATCTATCTATCTATCTATCTATCTATCTATCTATCTTACACTTTCCATCCATCCATCCATCCATCCATCCATCCATCCATCCATCCATCCATCCATCCATCCATCCATCCATCCATCCATCCATCCATCCATCCATCCATCCATCCATCTATCTATCTATCTATCTATCTATCTATCTATCTATCTATCTATCTATCTATCTTACACTTTCCATCCATCCATCCATCCCTCCATCCATCCATCCATCCATCCATCCATCCATCCATCCATCTGAGACATGTTTCTCTACTTAAATACAGTCAGTCAGCATTTTTTTTTCTTCTTCTGTTAAAGCTGGTAATCCTCATTCTGCCAAAAAGACTCAGAAGATCCACTCAATTATATTCAGTTCTCTCATCCTTTCTCCAGCACAGATCTGGGGGATTTTTCTCAAGTAGCAGGATATGTGGAGAATCAACAGCGTGGAATAACTGACAGGAATAAATAACAGTGTGGAATAATGTTACAAGCTGAGGTTTTGAGCTAGACTGTATAGTAAGCACCACAAATGAATGCAGTTTCAATAAATAGATACACTAGGGTTGCGTTTCTTTACACTGTGGATTACAGTGTGTTTGCATAATCAAGTGCAAAAAAAAAAAAAAGCATCAACATAGCATCAGAAAACAGCCCTGGAGTAAACAATATGTGAATGTGCATAAGAAAATGAACTGAATCTGATTTATAATTAAGCTATAATCTGTTTAATTAAGTCTGATGGATTGCTACAGATTCCTATAACGATGTTTTATCTCCAGTGCTGTTTAACTAAGGTTTGCATGCAGAGATCGATAAGGAGATGTCGTTAACGTAGCGCTGCTTTCTCAAAGACGGACAGAAATCTTTAATGTGAGACTTAACGAGGCGCAGCATTGATTTTCTGAATGTCAGTCGCCGTTTGAAAAAAAAGCACGTCGTCCGTTACGCTTAATCTTCAATCGTCCGTTCATTACTGCAAAGCACTCAAGAAAGATGCGGTCATAAATGTCCTGAAGGTAAACACTGGACTGTTGTAGTCACTTTGTTTTGTCTGAAGTACTTTTAAGGAGTCTGCTATTTATTAAGGCATGCATGAGGGAGCAACGGGAACAAGCTCTTCTGCTGCGCAAGGAAAACGGCCAAATGTGTTTTATTCTCAGAAGCGTTTGCCTCCAAAACTCTTAATGGCGTGATATAAGAAATTGGGTGTAACGCTTGCCTGAGGAGGTGTATGCATTATTGATGGGGCAATGATTTAAATAGGTAAATAATTCATGCACCTCCGAACTGTGCATCTGAAAGAATGCATTGTTGTCCGGAGAACAAGGTGCTTGTCTTATGTAGAAACAATGACATCAACAATATGGACGTCAAGGAAAATCCATT